TGCCGATGAAGTATATTGGTGATAGTGGGTTCAAATATCTATGCACGCCTCCCCCGGAGAACGGAATTTTTTTGAATCTACTCTTTATCCTCCATCCTTGTCATCACCCCGGAGAAAATGTACACATCGATTATGCTTACTTTACAAAAGCCCCCGACTTCCCATACATGGACATATCTCTATAATAGCCAGAAGAAGGCGTTCACACAGCAAGCCGCTCGGTCGATCACGTTGCTCGCTCGATGCCGGCGAGCGCATGGCGCACGCCTTGGACGGTGGCGAAGCCAAAAACACCGATGGTGGCCGTCCGCTGGCGTGAGCGGCGGCGGTCGAGACCTCACCATTCGCGCCGACGACCCAACCTCACGCGGAACAACCCAACCCGGGCCAACAACCCAACCCAACCCAAAAAGCACGATTCTGAAGTTGGGCCCTCTAACCGTCTCTGTGCGAACGGCGGGCACGTCTCGAGACCATGGTGCGCGCGCTCGCCCCACCCGTGCCCACGGCGGCCTGCGCGCGCGCGCGCGCGGTAGTAGGAGTAGGCTGCGGGTCGTACCGAACCGGTGGTTCACCACCGGTCTCTGGTCCCCGGGAGCAACGAACCGAGCAGCCAGACCATGTGCGCCAAACAGCAGCACATTTAGCGACTCGCAGAGCACCAGTCGAGGTGCTGCCCGCCGAGGCCCGAGCACGCGAGGAAGCGCGAGACGAGGCGGCGTGTGGGCCGCCCGGCGAGCAAAACGACTGGTGCCGCGCGCGCCGCGTGCGCCAAGCAGCCGAGGCTGCCGAGGAGGCCGAGGAGGCCGAGGAGGCCGAGGAGGCCGAGGAGGCCGAGGAGGCCCCCCCCTCCCCCCCGGCGACTCGAACCGGGAGCCAGTCGACGCACGAACGGAACGCGCGCGCATCGCCGGATATGTCAACTCGCAGCAGTGAGGCAGCAGCTCATATACAGTGGATTTTATTTAATTGTTTGCTGTCAGTACTGGCGCCTCTGTGCGGAGTGAGGTGGTGGATAGGGTGGGCGCTCGCAGCCGTGGCGAGTGCCGCCCTCGCCGTGCGTCACGTGAGGAAGGGCCGAGGAAGGCCACCGCGCACGTCGGCCCCACGACACAGTGAAATAGTGACAGGAGCAGCACCAGCTGCAGAGGCGCCTGACAGCTGCAGCAGAGCAAAACCGGAGGACCCCCCGCGCAGAGAGAAAAGAAGCGAAAAAGCCAGACGGCGCGCTCGAAAAAGAAAACGCCGTACCCGGCGCCCAGCGCCAAGGGGATGCGAAGCGTGGACGGGGGCAGAGGTCGCCGCCCTCCCGATCCGCGCAAGAAAGAGAAGGGTGTGGGCGTGGAAGCGACACCGACGGAATGCGCGGCGAAAGGAGCGAGGGAAGCTAGACCCCGACCTAGCCTTCTACGGGGTACCCGCAGTCGAACCCACCTTGAGCCCGCTCGAGAGGGCAGACACGCGGGCGCAACGCCTGGGAATGGGACCCCTCATCGACGAGGACCTAGCACACCTGGGGATACCCGCGGCCTACACATGGCACATACCCATCACCGAGTGGAACGCGCTCATGAAGGCACTACACGGAAACGGAGTGAACAAGGGCAAACAGAAAAGGGCAACCGGGAGGAAGGCGCACGAACAAGCCCATTTCGCCACCCTCAACGTCTGCGGCGGGGGCCTCGAGAGCATAGAGGGGGCGATGGAGGAGATACGGGAATTAAGGGAGAGGGGGAGCGCACCGATCCGCAACACGGGACGATACCAACGCGACATGGGAGGAGGAGATACCCGAGCAAAATAAGATCACGAAGGACGCGGTGAGAAAGATGATGGAGAGACAGGAGAGGGAGCGACAGGAGGGGAGCCTCGGGGCGGATGAGACGTTGTTCCCAGAGGGGGCGCCCCAGAGACACATAAACTGGAAGAAAGAAGACTACGAGCTGTTCGTGGGGCACGGACACGGGGCGAGCGCGATCAGAGTAGGGGAGCTACAGGAGGACCCCCTAACGCGCTTCTTGCTCCGATACGACGAATTTGAGACGGGGGGAGAGCTGACGGACGGCAACGGGAAGCGAATTAAGATAGGAAAAGACAGCGAGCCGCTGCGGTCGGGGAAGGGACGAGCCCTGAACGTGAAAGTAGCGCAGACATGCCTCGCGCTGCACGTCTCACACCAGTTCACACACTTTGCGGCGACGGACGGAGGAAAGGACCATGAAGACAAAAGGGCGGAGGATGGAAAGTACGTGCCGAACCCTAGGGTGGCGTACGGCGTGTTCGAAGGACCGACACGATTCGGAAAGAGCGTCCCGGGAGACGCACAGGTAAAGGATCCCAACGGAATCGGACCCTGTGAAGAAGGGGAGATACGGATAGCGTTTGGGGCGGGAATGTGGGGAGGAAAGCTGCCGAACATGTGGGAGCCGATAGACGCGGAGATGTACGCGATACTCGCATACTTACGCAAAATGGCGAGCGCGAGCGATGCGCAATCGCGGCGGTGCCTAGTGCTATGCGACTGCAAACCCGCGCTGCAGCAGATTGAGAATGCGCACCGCAAAGGGATGCCAGAAGGCCTGAGGGACTGGGACGGACTGCTGGAGGCGATCGCTTACTATAGATCGAAGCTAGAGGCGGTGGTCTTCATGTGGGTGCCAGCACACGTGGGAATAGCCTGCAACGCATACGCCGACGCGGTGGCGACAGCACACCTCGGGGATAACGACACGGAGGACGCCTCGAAAGTGGTGCGGGACGCGGTGCGGACGCGGCCATGCATGTACACGGTGCGAAGGGAGACGGCAGAGAACGCAGAGAAGAGGGAGATAGTGGACCGACGGACGTACGGACACATGTGTAAGAGCGCGCACGAGTGGGTGTGCGAGCAATATCGAAAGACAGTGAGGCCGGGGTCGCACACGGCAGGGGTGGCGGGACGGTTGTGGAGCGAAGTAGCAGTAGCCAGCCTCAAGCATCGATGGGATAATAAGATGAGATTACCAGACGAGAACGGGGGGAAGGACAGGCGGGCGACATTTGACGACGTCGGGGATCACAATGTGACGACCAAAACGATCTTGGGGGCCAGGGTGAGACAACAGGTCGGGGTGCCACATGGGGCACACCACAGGCGTATTCTAGAGGGGGAAAAGAAACGGGGAATGAGGGGCCCCGCCACGAGAAGTGCGTTCTGGGGATGCAGAGCGTGCAAAGCGGCTAGGGATGAGGCCACAAAAGAGGCGCGCGAGGCAAGGAGGAGACGCGGGGAACTGAAAGACTGGGACGACTGGAAACAAGAAGACAGTGAGCCACCACAGGCGTCGTTGGCGCACATACTGAGCGGCAGCTGCGCTGGAAATAAGGAAGAGGCGCGTAACTTCATGCGGAAGCTCGACAAACACACAGCGAGGGCGACAGCAAGAGTTGAACGGGAGGCGCCGGACTCAAAAGACACCGCCACATTCCTGAGACGAGCGAGGGCACAGCCTCCTTAAAGGCGAAAGGGTCTAGATTTGGGGCGCTCGCCGAAGAAGAGTACGACAAAATAGCGCCCGTGATTGCCTGCACGCTACCCGCACTCACGGACTCCATACCCGAAAGAAAGAGAAGGGAGCTCGCGGGAGAGGTGACGAGTGAACTACAGGTGGTGGGGAAGGCAGCCTCGATTGCCATACAGACATGGGTGCGGAACAACGACAAGACCAAGGCACGGGCAGAGGAACGAGAGAAGAATATAGGGTGGATAAAGCGCCTGTTCACGGCATGGAGGGTGAGCCACGCCGAACGTACCGAACGTAGAGCCGAGCGGAAGGCAGCGGGGGAAGACGACTCCGAGGAGGACGAACCAGTGGAAATTCAGTTGTCAGATGTCACGATGCATCCGAAGGGGACCCCAGCGCCGGCATCATCCGTAGAGGCACGAGTGTTCGAAGAGAGAGTGGACCTGAGCAACGATATGACTTGGAGGCAAATGCTCGGAGTGGGAGTCAGAAATGTGGTCCTTGCGCGAGGGGAGCTCGATACACTCGAGGGGCCAGGATACGCCGCGAGGAGGACGGAGTTGCGCCGAAAGGCGAAAGAAGCCGCGAGAACAAGGGACCGGCAGGCGGCGGCGTCGCAGGACGAGACAGAAGAGAACGACGCGACAGAGGAGGAAATGACAAGGGAGAGAACGACGAGAGTGGGACGACCGCGAGGTGGCATGAAGGCTGCAGCGAGAAGCGGCGAGAGACTGCGAAGAGAGATAGGAAGAGGCAGACTCCCTAGGGTGGGCGACGGCTAGCGCATCACACACCTCTCCTTAAAATCCCTGTGTGGTGGCGGCGTGCCGTCCTCCCATCCCTCCCTTGGGTTGTCTGTTTTCTTTCTTTCTTTACCGTCTCTGTGCAATTTCGGGCCCGGGGTTGTGCGTTTCTGTGAACACCGCTCTGACAGTGAGAGATTTTTAGCAATACCAAACAACTTTAACACTCACTTTGTTGTTCTGACAGTTGATACAGTGAAGACGTCTTGGGTCCGTGCTTTCCTCACGATCCTCGCTCATCATGCTGCCCTCAGCGTCGCGCAAGAAGAAATCGTCACTCGCGAGAGTCAAGCCGGCGGCGAAGGCGACCAAGAGCGCGGTCGTTACCGCCGACCGTTCGCCGGTGGCAAAGGTGGCCAAGAGCGTCGCCAGCGCCGCCGTTCGTTCGCCGGTGGCAAAGGTGGCCAAGAGTGTTGCCAGTGCCGCTGACCGCGCGGCGTGCAAAGTGCAAGCGCATGTCCGCCGGTGCAGCAGCCAGGCGTGGCTTAAAGTGCTCGATGCGGCCACGACGGGGCCCGGCAAGGGGCTCGCTTTCATGCGGGCCCAGCTGGAGAAGATGGGCGCGCAGGGTGGCCAGGTGCTCGGGAGCCTAATACTCGCGAGCACCAAGGGCGGCGACAGCAAGCTGGCTTCCCTGCGCAAGCGGACCATCATCAAGATCCTAACCGGGTCGGTGACGCTTGTCAACCGCTGCCTGAGGGCACTGCTGCCGCGCTGGCTCACTCCAAGCCGCCGCGGCATCCAGACCGCGATGGCGTCGCTCCACAACTCGGGAACGCCGATGCCGCTCGGCGAGGAGGGCCTGCTCGCCAACTACTCGCTCGAGGTGCTGCGCATGGACGGCGAGGGGAGGCTGTGGCGGAAGAAGGTTGACGCGGACGGCGACGCGCGCTACGAGGAGGCGTTCGGCGCCGGGTGCGCGCTGCCGTGCGCGCGCGCGCCTCCACCAGCGTTTGGGGAGGAGCCGCCGCCGGTGGGAGCGCGGGGCCTCATCAAGCGCTTCACGTGCCGCGTGGACACGCGCGTCATCAAGCCGGAGAAGGGCGTGAGCGCGGCAGAGGCGCGGCGGCGGCACCAGGAGACGCAGGAGGTGGACCTGGTGACGTTGTACGCCGACAAGTACCTCGAGGACACCTACCCGTCGCTCCTCGCAAAGTGCATGCAGCGCGCCATCCCGCGGCGGCTGAAGGCAACGCTCGATTTCGATTACCCGTCCGACTTTATGCCGCGCGCCATGCGTGACAAGCCACTCGAGGATCCCGCCTGGCCTCTCCCGCCCCCCTCTGACCTTCCCCTTACCCTGCCCCCTCTGCCACTGCCTCCCTCTGCCTCTGCCTCTGCCTCTGCCTCTGCCTCTGCCTCTGCCTCTGCCTCTCCCTCTCCCTCTCCCTCTCCCTCTCCCTCTCCCTCTCCCTCTCCCTCTCCCTCTCCCTCTCCCTCTCCCTCTCCCTCTCCCTC